TGCTAAGCATAGCGTTTTTAAATACAGATGCTGAACAATAGAGGGCTAAGCGGGCATCCCTGATTGACGGAACGCCTAATGTTAGTGGGGGCACCTGATGAATTATAACTACTAAACGTGCCATGCAATTTCGATATGACAAAGCCACGTCATCTCTCATTGCCGAACCAATATTCGCATGGTATAGTATGACAAGCAATAGGACATGAGCGACATAGTCCAATGCCTTTTCGAGATCGATCTGCATGCACAAACGCCACGTGACTTTCAATGGCGTTGCAACACTCGAGAACACATCGCAATTTCTGCATGTTGGTCACAATGAAACGTCTCATAATGCCCCATGTTTGGTGAGACCCAACCTGTTCCTTGATACCACCCTGAAGTCGCTGCGCTGGTACTTTCATCAAGATTTTGTAGTCGAAGTTAGCTGGTGATATAGGCCGATATGACGAAACTAGTTTTACCTTTTCTGTCTCTTCGGTTTTCAGTATCCAAATAGTATGTACCTCACTAAATGACCGAGGCAAACTATCTAGTTTATATGAGTTGTTCAAGACTTCCGTTAACAGTCCGGATAATTAACATTTTAACACAACCCTGAGGCCGTCAAGCCCCAGTGACTTATCAGGATTGAGCTTATATCTGGCCTTTTCTAGTTCCACTTGCGATGCAGGAAATCCTTACGCTACTTTTGTGTCATCGGACAACCGCAGAATTCCCCTGAGAAACGACCCTTTAAATACCTTCACATCAACGGGTTCAGTAGCTAATAGTGCCTTGTAGTGTTTAAAAGGCCTTTTCGATGCTATCATTGTCTGTCATCTCGGCGTCACTGAATTCAATATTTTCTATATGGTTCCACATGGAGTGACTATTCTGGAGTCCAAGCGCACGTTGGGTTGTGATCTAAAGTTATTTGCATTGCTTTGTCTTGCACTAGGGCCCCTAGACAGCTACGATGCTACGGTTTGGAATTTGTTCTTCGTCTAAAAACTGTGATACGTAATGTAGGTGTTGCATGGTTCACGGGCTAACATACAAAAATTTCATCGTGTCTTCGGATTGTTTGTGCCTCAAGTAGGGAACAATGCAGTCGAAGAGTTTAGTAATCTGTTTAGGTGAGTAAAGAAAGGTGGTTTGGGACTATCTCACCTATTCAGCAAATCATTAACAGGTTCTTCTGTTTTCGTAACATGAGTGATCCTTTCCTGCGTAATGTGTGCCAGCTGAGGCTCATGAGGGCTTTACCTGATATTTAGTTGGTACAGACCACATGTATGACATGGTCCGCGGATATCTCAGGGAGGTGATCTTAAGCATACACTTTTCGTCTGTCAGATTTCTTCATGAGTACCTGTTTTGGTGACACGCAAGAAGCTGTACAGACAGGTGTGCGATGCAACTTTTCTGTTACAATGTACAGGGCCACGTACACTGGATGTCAAGGGCAGGACGTGATAAAAAAGGTTAAAAGAATGCAAGTGGCTCCTGCCACATCGACTTTTTTTTAGGCTTCACACTGGTACTTTGCACGTCAAGGTATTTCTAAATGAGCAGAATGTCTTCCTGTCTTGGGGGCCTGACTGTCTCATTTGAAATAAGCCAGAAACTATTGACCACATTTTTTTACAATGCTGGGAGTAAGTTTAGTTTTTAGATGTATTGCAGAGGACAATAAAAATAAAGGAATTCCCGCTGAACCCATAAGGTATCAGATCTCTCGCGATAAATGATGAGGATGGTTTTGCATTTTACTTAATGTTAACAGGCCTCCACTATTTACGGCGGGCCCATATGGCAGGATTTCACTGGGATCCAGAATTAAGACCCGCAAGAATGTACTTCCGAGCGTGCATGTCGAAATCGGTTGAACTTCAGAAAGCACAGGAGTCAGTACCTGAGTGAATGTGAAGGGTGTAAACCTTGACAGCTCTCAAGAAGTTTTAAAATTGGTGTCTGTCCAGTTGGACTGACGGTGTTTGTTGTTGTGACTCTTACGTCACTGTTGATGTTCATAGAGTCTGGGATCCGGTAAAAAAAAAACGAAAAAAAAAAACAGGCACGCCTCTCTTTGTGGTAGAATACTCGTGGCACGCAGGCGACCCAGGCTAGAATGCCCGTGAGTTCTTGTGCTTTCTATTTACTTAGTTTTTTTTCTGATTTCGCTTGGTAGTATATAGTTACGGACACCGGTGGAGGCGGCAGCGGCAACTACGGCGCACACGATTATTGTTGTGATCTCATAACAGCTTTCGCTGCAAAAATGCTGCGAGAATCACCCGCTCCAATTCACCTACCTGACAAATAAATATCTCAAGAAATTCTATTGCTGGCACACGTATTATTGCAAGTTATCTTATAAAACAAAAAATACACCTGAGATAACAGAGCGTTTCGACTATGTGTTTCTCGCTTCAAAAACTTCAAAGTTCAAAAACTTTCGAAAAGGTTTTTGTAATCTTATGATAACAAATTTGCCACTTCATCGAAGTGCTATTTTTCCTTCTGTCTTTTTTTTTTCGTAACATTCACGCGCTTTTATCACGATCCCTTGTTGCGGCGCGTTCCCTATATCTACACGATTTCTGTTGCTTATCGGAACAAAATAGTTTCCTAAAAACAAACTACTGGGTCTGCGCGGAACGCCTAGTATACAGTCAGAGCTATAGCTGCAACAGCAGCCTTCCTAGAGTGTTTTCTAAACACTTTTGGGGTGACTAATACAAGCACTCTTGCATTGTACCCACCACGCCATAAATATTCGTAACTTTTGTGCAGTGGTGAAGTGTCAATTTTGTTTGTTTGTTCGTTATTTATTTGTTTTTAGCCCGGATACCATGTCACATACCCACTCTGGAAGATAGGTAAAAAAAGACATATGGTAGCCTATGGATGGTAACCGCACTATTACATACGAAGAACAATATTGTACAAGAAAGAAAACATTACGAAAGTAAAGGGCAAGAAAGTGAGCAAAAAAACGAAAAAAAACGCCAGTAGTACCGAAACGAAGTGCTATTACAATAACGATAACCTGATTTTTGGAGTCGACCAGACAGTTGAGTCTACTTAACCCGATCAATTTTGGATGTATGTGTTATAATTCATAACATTTAAGAATTACTTCCCGGGTATTTCTTCGAGTATTTATTAAACTAGACGTCATGCTGAAATACGTTTTGTGGCTTGAATCCAATTACAGACCCTATCAAATACATCTTTGCGGCAATGTTGCAAAACGGAGGCATCGAAATATATAACAGTGTCTGCTGTTAAACTTAAACCTAGCTTCACAAATGGAATTGCTAGGAATCTTTTTCTAGTTACTGAATAATTAGGACATGATACAAAATAATGTTCAGTAGTTTCCAATTCCTTGCAGAATGGACAACTGGGGAGATATCTTCAGATCAGCTATGTGTAAATAGAACGGGTAGACATTGCACCAAAACTTGGAAATAATAATTAAAATTTTTTTGACAGTACCATCATTCACCATTCTTCGGAAAAAAAGTAGTACCCGCTGGACCCTTGTAAGCAATCATGTGCACTTCGTCGATGGCCGACGATGATGAAGAATTATGCCTGAGGTTTTGTAATGGGTGGGAGCATTCCATGATCAACACATTACGCAATTTGCATTGTGTGGCACCTTGTTGTTACGTTACTGTTCTAAAACGCTTTATTACACTCGTTAACGCGATTCCTTACCCGACATGAAGCCTGCATAGGATGAGTTTGCAACAAAGTTCCAAGCACAGGCATAGTAGCTCTGTGGTATAAACTGGGCTGCTACGCCTAGGGCTAGGGTTCGTATCCAGGGTTCCATCTACGATATCTTCTTAGCCCTTTTTTATTATCGCATGGTAGTGGTACGGACCCCGCGGTGGCGGATGACGACAAAATCGGCCCTTTAGTGATCTCATAACAGCTCTCGCTGTAAGAGATGTTATACAAAGTGCGCACGAGTCTGACAGTCATCAGCTTTGTATATGAACATGACATTGGAAACGTTCGGCAGGTGCCACACCTTGTGGGAAACGGGGTCCTGCGACGCAGTTTTTTGTGAGCGTAGTAGTTGCGTTCACACCGTGTGTACCCGACCCCGTACTGTCTCGTTACCTGTCTCGCCATCTGGCGGGAGGCACCCGAGTAGCGATGGCTGACACTCACCGTATTAAAGTGTTCACAAGCGTGACGATATACCGGAAGATGGCGTGGCGGATGTGTGGCAAAACCCTGCAATCAGAGTCCGTTGACTTGTAGAACGTCATCGCTGCCTGCCACTAGACTAGAAACCACGCTTTCACATCAACTTGCACGTCTTGGTGAACTGCGCCGCTAATACCAGTTGCATTCGATAAGCCGAGCTTTCGTTCGATTCATTCTGAGCATCCGGAAGAAAGAATCCAAATAGTGCGTAGTTACTGGTTTCGTTCTTATGATCCCTGTGGCACTTTACCTCGCACCTGTATTATTCACACAACAGCCGCGCAGTAGCTATGAGAAAGCACAAATACAACCGTACAGTAGAGTACATAAGAAGTATGCAACTAGCTATGCTAGCTATGTAGAAGAAGTGCGACCACCGCGTGGGCACTTCCGCATTGAAACTCAAGCGTCCAGCTGCAGTGCGTAGCTTGTTACCATTTGGCTGCATGTCGCGTGCCATCAGCTGAGCTGCGCCTGCACGCGACGCCACTGGGACAACACTGCCTCAAAAATATCGGCCATTGCTGTCCTTCACGATTGCTCGAGCACTAACGTGGGCCGCCTGTGCAGCGCGTCCGCAGAGCAGGGCCTTACCATGAGGACTTTTCGGGACGGAATCGGCGCCGCTCTCCAACGCCCGCTCGGCGGCCATGGCTCGCGTATAACACCGCGCTGCTCCTGTCAAACGCCAGCGCCACATAACCGATCGATGGTGCTTAGATTAGAGCTGCGCTCACGAGAGGGCGTGGCAAGACCATCCATTTTAGGAGTTGCGCTCCCGGCTTCCCGCTGTGAGGGAGCGCTTCATCGAGTAGCTGGACTGCGGCAGCGCCCGTACACCCGATTGAGTCGGAGACGAGTAGCAGGGGGAAAAAAGGTGTCGCCGCGGCAGCCTGACTGCGAAGCAAAACTGGGCCGTTACGTGATTACGTGATGCCCGTCCACCGTTGATATGTAGAGTGGCGGTTGACGGGCCCGTGTGCGCAGCCGTGGGTCGGTGTTTTCCGCGACGCGCTTGGCTGCGTGCATGACTGCGGCGGCGGTTGGTTCGCGCCTCGATCGACTGGACGCCACTGTTCAGGGTCTGCAAGCAGCAGCCGGCAGTGAAGCTGAGTGGTCTAGGCACACGCTGTCTTGACACCCCATCTCGCTCGCTTGGTGGTCCGCTACTGCGCGGGCCGACCGGCAGACCATGTTCCATTGCCCCTATGAAGCAGCACTGGTAGGGTCTGCAGGCTTCGCAGTGGCGCCAGCAGATGCCATGGCTGCAATGCCATGGCCACGATGAGGTGAGTTTTCACACTATTTATGCCCACACAACGGGCTTATGTTGCCGTTGGTGTGATTAGTGATCTGTGCAGCGCCACAATGTCTTATTATCTGTGGGGATGTTCTGGTGTACTGTCTATGACAAGCGTCTTGAGTAAATTATGTTTAGAGTGAAACGGGAGAAGTGGCTCAAGAATACCGTGTGGATAGATAAGGTTGAGGTGCAAGCACATTTCACGAGTCGTTATGGCTGGCTTCGAATTCATTAGCACTTTGCCACCAAGCGCAAACATCGACTCAAGTTCTCCTCTTTTTGAATCGTGGGTGTCCCCATTAATGCGTGTGGCCGCAAGCCTTGACTTGCCTGAGAGTATGCTATAGGAAAGTGCCTATTGTGAAGAGATACGGGTGTTGCGAGAAAACAAGAAAAAGCTAGGGATATGACAGGGTTATCAAAATTGAGCTTTTGTTATAAAAAGCAAGACCGGATCATGACATCGCAGATGAGGAACTGACTGGCTAAGGCACTTGTAAATATCAAAATACTGGAACCAGCCTTTGCACGATACTCCTGGAAGAGACGTTCTGTGTAGTCAGGCTATAAGCTGTATTTCTCGTGACAGGGTGCACGTGATATATTCACGCTTATGACGAAAATGCGACAAAAGTGCCGATGCATTTATAAAGAGTGTCTATAATGCACGTGGCCGCTGCCTTAGTGATCGCGCTCTCTTAACGTATCTGCTGTCTGCCCTCTACCATGTGTCTATTTATTCTTGTTGATGTACCAACACTGTAAACATATTGAAGGGTAAATTTGTTGTCAACATATTTTGCGCTTTTCAACCATTGCCAAATCTTTTGAAACGACGCGCTCGCTATAAAGAACTGGCCGATGAGCATTCATCGGTGATGAATTATTCACCGCGAGTGTCGCTGCGGTGACAGGTGTGCGACGGATCGAAGGCCGCCAGTATGACGCCCTTCCGGTTTCGAATTGCGCCTGCGGTTGAAGACGAGCGAGAAGGAGTCTCTCTCGCGCGTCTGCTGACTGCCTAGGGGGCGGCGTCCGCGCGCCTCGATTGGCCGGCGCTCGGGAAGGGCAGTGTGTCAGGAGTTCTTTGTTTACGCGAACAGGGGAGGCGCTGGAGAAAGGGAGCGCGTGGAGGTGGGATGCGCGGGAGACTCCTATAAACAAGAAAAGGCGCGCTCACCAGGTCATTGGCAACGCAGCCGGCGCACGCATGTGTGGCGCGCGCCAGTGACCTGGATTGCATGCTTCCCGCGGGAGACAGGCGCGCGGCATGGTCTCGGCGGATGCTTAAAGATGAGAGCTCTCAAGGCAGTGGTACATTTGATGACGTGACACATTTTCTGACGATATCGCAACACTGGCGACTTGCAGCGGCTCCGGCGGTGGCGTGCGTGCCCTGGGAGATCAACGTGCTGGCGGGCGACGGGTCATCGTGCCGGGCCGCCAGGCATGCGGTCATGCAGCTACCGCGCTGGCTGCTGGCTTGCGCCCTGGTCAGCCTGGCGGCAGGCGTCACGGGCATCGTGCTGAGGCGCTGGTTCCGCAGCTACGCTATTGGCGACATCCTCTGCATCTGCGGCATGACACTCTTCACCACCATCCTGGCGAGCATCGCGCTCAAGTTGCTAGGCCGCGCGCTCAAGCGTCGCGTGGCCTGCTCGCGCTTCTCCGAGATCCTGGGAGTGGTGACCCTGCGCTCGGGCACGCAGCTGGTGGAGCCGCAGGACGTGCGCCTGCTGCCGGCGGGCACGCTCGTCTGCGTCGTGCCACCCACGCAGCCCGTGTTCTATCCGGACAACGCCGGCGACATGCTCACCATCTTCGAGGACTACGCACAGTTCCCCCAGCAGCCACCCAGGATGTTCGACACGCACCGCCTGTCGCCGGTGTCCACGGCCAACCACGCCCTTGAGCGTCGCGCCGACACGCCTCCTGTCGTCATCACCACCTCTTCGTCCGAGGGATCCACGCAAGCCGAACCGCCTACCACTTCGGAAGAGGATGACGACGTGACTTCATCGTCAGACCGACCACCGTCCTATGCCCACCTGTGCGGTGAGCCACCGCCACCTTATAAGACCGACAGCATGTCCACCCTGAACGACGAGATCGGCTAGCTGCGAGATGCCCTTTATTGGTTCACTCCCCGAATCAGCACTGGGTCCCGCCCGGAACAAGGAGCTGCCGTAGTTGAAGACCCGCTGCGGGCGCCGACGCTACGCTGATTCCTCGCAGTGGCGACCTGCAGAGCAAACGGTGGACAAGACTGAACTGCGCGCGCCGTGCATGTATACCTGAACACCTCTCCCTTTCTTTGAGAGACCCACACCTCACCCAAACTTGTGCTAAGCGCTCTCATAGGCCACGTTTTATTGTTGTTGTTGATGTTGTGAAGAAAAATATCGGAGATCTCTTCTTCTCGTTTACGAGAGACTCTGCGTTTTATTGAGCACAGTGGACTTCTTGTGGACATAGCGGACACTAGCATTCATTTCTAGTGTTCGGCTAAGTGGCCACAGAAACCACTGCATCCCGAGTGAATTTTAACGAAAAATGAAGCTAAGGTTAAGGTACCTTAATCCCACGGAGAACCTTAGAACACCCTAATGTAAGCTTCCAAACTATACCATCATCATGTTGATCAATCGGCAATATTTCGGGGGTTTAAACTTTGGCAATATTACGTGACAACAGTTGATATTTAGCTTCCTTGATACTGAATCGTCTCAATTAGAGTGCACATAAAAACGGGCACGAAGGCGCCTGTCGTGGTTCCTTCCTGTCCGTCTGTGTGGTACTTTGGCGCTCTAAACTATAGTGCGTTTTGAGCACGACAATAACCGAAATAGTGTCACTGCAGACAGACCCCTGCATCACTCCAATAGATATCTGACTATCCGACTCACACTTGTTCGTTTCCCGTATTTAGGCTCGTCTTACTGTCCCATACTAGTAATTTTGGCTATCTTATCGCACTGTGTAATGGCGTACTTGTTGCAGTAGGCTGATGGTTAGGGTCACACACACGGGGTAGATTTCGACAAGAGTTGAATGCATTGATGATAGCTGAGATAAACATAATCTGAATTCATCTTTGAGGCGGATGTCACTGAAGGCCTGGAAAGTATCCTTTATACTGCTTTTACGGCCCTGTTATCAGACTAAATCCTCCTTGTTAAAAATAGCTATTGGCCCATAGCATCCCTGCTATCGAGTGTTTCTTGCCACTGGCATCGTGGCACGCATGGCTGTTAGGCGTGTAGGCCCACTCTGCAAAAAGTCAAGTATATAGGCAGGACGAGCGCCTGTCTCATCCTGCCTGTTTTCCCTTTGTCTCGAGCGCAATACTTATGAAGCCTCTCAGAACTTTCAGACAGCCTCTGATGCTGCCGTTACAAGGTTTATTATACGAAACATTATCAGTGCAACGCGTGGTAACTCATAAGCTATACAGAGATGTGCAATGAGGTCTGATGAAGACATTCACTAGCGCGAAAAGACGGAACACTTAAGAAGACACACACACACAGTGTTGTGTGTGTATATTCCTTCTTAAGCGTTCCATCTTTTTGCGTTCCATTTCTTTGTAAATCTGTAGTGACTATGAACCTATCATCACGAACTCACCCGAGCCGCAGTTTTACCCGAGTTCTGATCACTTAAGCTGAGGTATATGACATCACAAGCTGTGAATGCACGAATTCACTACATGCTATTATTCAATGCTTCTCGCTGCATTAATTCCTTTTTCATCAACGCACAACATTTAAACAGCATATTCGAGGGGTTGTCGCTTCTGTGGCCGATAGTCCGGTGAGCCCGACTGAAGTCCTATACTGCCTGACAACCTCTGATGTGGAAAAAAAAGAAGGGTTCGTTAATAGGGATATCTAACTTACTGCACAAATGGAAGGTGGAGAGAAACTGCACAATAAATTACTACGTGGAAGTTTGGCGAAACTCTACAAAATAACCTTTTCGTGAAAATTAGGCATGGACGTTGAAACTGTTGATGAAGTTTGGCTAATCGTGATTTATCATGCAGTTTTCGTCCGCTTTTGCTTTGAGCTGTAAATGAGGGACAACCCTTCGTTTGTCAACAGCAGTGGTCGTCATGCGAGAGAACTTTCGGTCGGGCTTACCGGACTGACACCCACTGTATTTAATGAACCCCCCCCCCCCACCCCCCGGAATATGCAGCGTTTAAGTATCGTGCTATGATGGGAGGGTAATGACTGGTATCGTGCAGTGATGATTAATAGTAAGTTAGGAACTTTTATGCCAACAGCCCGTAATGCCTCAGTTTACGTGATCGAAACTCATCGCACTTCACGTATAGGCAACGAGTTGCCATGCGTTCCATTGCTGATGTTCCATTACATGGCAAACTAATAAAAAACCTTATAATGACACCATCACAAGATGCTTCAAAGATGGCAAAGAACCAACGTTCAAGGTGTTTATTCACTAGAAATCTCGATAAATAGAGGATATAGGAAACCAAGCATGCGCAGAGTGATTGTGAAATGTATTAATGAAAACGAACAGTCAACAGAAGTAACAGGCAAATAACAGATGTCTGTTAGTTCTCATTAGTGTAGTGCTCTATCAAAGAAAAACGAGCCCTTGACGCCACTAAGGTTGCGTAATATTGACGTTTACAAATGCTCTAAAAAAGGAACGGCATAACAATGGCCATCCCAAAAAGCACTCCTAGTCATCAAAAAACAATGCGGGTGCCGTGCCTTTATATACCTGGGCGTTGTAAAAGTTGCGATAGCACCGAATGTTTTCGTGATTCACTTTGTCTAGTCTGATGTCTTATGACTAGCTGGTACAAGAATTTGCCGAGTCTTGCCTGATAAGCAATCAAAGCGGCCACCTGGGACAGTAGCGTTGACAGAAAAAGAAGTTTGAAGGATCCTTGTCATGGTATTTTGAGCACGCGTGCGTGCCACTACACTTGAGAGTTTGCTCGGTAAAATTGACTTGAAATTGATTGCTTGATATGTGGGGTTCAACGTCCCAAAACCGTCATATGAATATGAGAGACGCCGTAGTGGAGGGCTCCGGAAATTACGACCACCTGGAGTTCTTTAACGTGCACCCAAATCTGAGCACACAGGCCTACAACATTTCCGCCTCCACCGGAAATGCAGCCACCGCAGCCGGGATTCTAATCCGCGACCTGCGGGTCAGCAGCCGAGTATCTTAGCCACTAGACCACCGCAGCGGAACATAAATTGAGTTGAAATTGCGCGTCTGTTCTGCTCTGTTCTTCCCATTACCCTACTGATCAAACCAACTCATATTATACACCGACTGCTGAAGTATAGTCGACGCATTTGGTGTTCAATGGTTCAGACGTTTTTGGGTTAGGTTTGCTCGTTGTTACTTCCCTGTGGAGTTGCTAAAATATGTGTGCAGTGCGGCCTCATGAAAACATTATAACGAGCTCTTCACGCAATTGAAATTCCGCAGCCAAACTTCATAGAAAAGGCCAATTACGATGATGAATACTTGCCTGTCACGAATCAGTTATATGATAGTGATAAAGTACCTCATCAAACATCTTAACAATTTCTTGTGTTTTAATAAAAGTGCCCAACTCTTTCTTTACGCCAAAATGACGTTGAAAGTAGCCTCTACAGCTGGCAATTATACATAAATGTAAGGCAAGAAATCTCCCCTTGCTTTGTTTGTGCTCGAATATCGCTTGTGACGTCAATCAGGACAGTTGCCACATGCAACTCGCATTTTTATGTGTCACTCACGGGGTGGAAGCTCTTTCATTGTGAAAATTATTCCCTATTTTGAAGCACGCCATCCAATAATTACTCAGCATTCTAACTCTCTTGTGCAACGTTTTCTTTATCTTTACTCATCATTAGGATACCATTCATTGTTTTATTCAATTTGGAAGTCTCACTCTTTGAACGCCCAACGAAACTCATTCTTTATATGTTGGGGGACATTTTCTCTAACGCTTCGAGCACTGGTATGCCACAGCTTCTTCTTGTTGTGCATGTAGTCTGCAGATACTTGTGAAGTGGCATGGAAGGTTTATCACTGAATTCAAATGCACAAATGTAATATGCATTGTAATGTTGTCGTTTATTGATTCGCGTGGTTAGAAATTTCGACAACTGCTCGTAGCGATTTACTGCGCAACTGACGCCATCAATTAGGTTGTTTATTACGACAACGTTTATGTGCTGAAAAGAGGTGGAAGACCACACTGGATATGACGTCTCGCTGCCGAGCCAGTGGATATAATTTACGCACGCAGAGGCCGCATTCGCACATTTATAGAAATTAAAAAACAGTAGAGTTGTTGTTCTCAGTACCCCAGTTAGTGAACTCGGAGCCAAACACTACGGAGTCCCTCGTAATCATACTGTGGTGGTTTTGTGTCGTAAAATCTCAACATCTATGCTATGAGCAAAATGACCATGCACGCGAATCGTCGGCCTATAGCCGATCAGGTATACCGGCGCTATTATGTTGACGTGTGGTGCCTTTGCAAAGACTGACACGCTGCAGGCGATGCCTATAGATCCACGGCCGCTCGTTCCGACGCAGGCACGGTTCTTTAGGTGGGAGCACGGTGGAGAGTGCTGCAATACGGTTGCATGTGAGCGAAGTCACAAAGTTGTATTTCATAATTCGTGGGCTTCCTTTAAAACGTCAGAAAAAAATAATCACGCAGCATGTGTTCTGCTACAAAAAAAAATGGGATCAGCCGTTTTGGATTTCCCTCTCTCTAGAGGGTATGCGAGACGCACTTGTTCCTAACGTAAATACTAGAAATTTTGCATCAACAATCATTGTTAATTAACTAATTAAGCATGACATACAAATATCCCTACGGGCTAATATACCATTAGTTGGATCGAATTGCGGTTAACTAAATTTATTTCGTTCATGTGCTTCGTTCTTGTTAAGTGAGATAGCCTGTGTATGTATGGACGCTCTTTTAACTCTGCTCAGCCAGAAAGCCTTTATGGGGCATATTTTCGCGCTGGTGCCAAGTGGCGAATGGTAACTACAAAAGGTAGACGTTCTTTTGGTGAAGGACGTGACACGGCGTCATGTGTTCATTTCATGGCGCTTTTTAAAGCCTGCCAGATGGTGCAGATCTGATGCTGTTTGTGTCTCGCTGCCACGAGAGGACATTGATAAGCTAGAGAACCTTAAAACACCTGCGAACATGGCCAAACACACCAATAGTTAAATTTTGCACACCAACTAATTTTACTCTCAACGCTTGCGTCAAAATGTCACCGTTCATACAAAAGTAGAAAAAAAACTATGTTCACCACTCATTACTTTTCCTCGCAGTTTGTTGTAAAGCCATATCATGGGCACGCGCAGGCATACTGTTGTGTGAACTTTGTTTGCCTATCGCTCTGCGACCATTCAGACAATGGTCGGTGTTTGTGTTGTGAATTTCCTTTATCTAGTGGTGTATTTGTCTTCACTCCTGTCTTTCTTTTTTTGTGTGTGTGTGAAGATAAATGTTTCCCAACGATGTATAGCTCAACTTTCTGTGGTTTTATGCAGAGCAGGACGCTTGAGCTGACAGGTGGCGAAATGTTCCATAGACGATAGGACAATCGTGGTCGACGCTGGAGAGAATGCTGCCATTATGGTTCACACCTTGCAAGTTGTCAACTTCGCTATACATGTGCGATGTGTTCAGCGAAAACGCTTCTAATATTTCTGAGGTCTAGGGGCCTTTGTAGACCTGACGGACAACACGACTGCGTGAGCGCGTGTGTGTGTTTGTGTCGTGATGTGTTTTGTATGAGCACTCGAGTGATTTCTCTGTTTAATCACATTTTCCCCGTCTGGAGCAGGCATAGCCACCAAGCAAGTTCAGCATTTCTAGCTTTTATCAAAACAGAATGTCTCTGATTTTCTCAACGCTCTCTCTAGAATCATTTATTCACAGAGGCTGCATGCCTTAGGAGGTTCGTTGAAATAGGCTAGCGTATAGTCATTTAGGACGACTGCCAGTTGGGCGTGTTGGTAAAGGTTCATGATGAAACAAGCGCTAAACATACACACACTCAGAGAGGACACAGACAAGCGCTTACTAGCAACTGAAAATTTTATTTCGAAGTGAACACTAATAAATACATCACACGCATGTACCTCACTCCCAACTTCCCCTGTCATCATCAACATCGTGCTATAACAAAATATGCACTCCCATAATCCATGGCACACAACCGGAAACAAACACGTGTCAAGAACTAATAAAAGAAAACGTAAAACAGAAAAAAAAAACAGAAAAGAAAACGTAAAACAAAAAACAGAAAAAAACACTGAATTATGAGACGTCCAAAAAAGTTTGGACGTCGTATAACCCAGTGTTTTTGCTGTTTTTTGTTTTACAATTTTTTGTTTTTTGTTTTTTTTGTTTTCTGTTTGGTTTTCTTGATTCTTGACACGTGTTTGTTTCCGGCTGTGTGCCATGGATTATGGGAGTGCATATTTTGTTATATCACGATGTTGATGATGACAGGGGAAGTTGGGAATGAGGTATATGCGTGTGATGTATTTATAAGTGTTCGCTTCGAAATAAAATTTTCAGTTGCTAGTAAGCGCTTGTCTGTGTCCTCTTTGAGTGTGTGTATTTTAAGCACTTGTTTCATCATGTATATTCGTTATTGCCTTTTGAAAAATAATGAAAAAAGATGATGTTCACGATCATAATGCCAATCTTTTTCTCTAACTTCAGGGTTTTAGGTGGCTTTATCTGTTTATGAGGCACTGTGGCAGACTGATGTTGAATACCTTGGCATGTTTGACGCGCACCTATTACACGCTACATCAGGTATGAGCAGGTGCATCTGAAGCAACATTGAAAACTGGCGGAGTCCACGTGGTGACATATCGCCATGGGCAGGATATAAAATTAATTCTCTCTGTCGTTTTCGATCTTCCTCTCTGATGCCTAAGGGGCCCGCCTTACGCACCGGTACTGCTCATAATGAATGACTATAAATTAATTAACGTCAGTTCAGCAAGTTTTCTTGTGATTTGCAAACAACTGGAATTATCTTTCGTTCATTGTTGACCATATTGAGTGAGATGTGGCACGCACTGCTGATACTTCAGTGCGTTGAAAAAGTATTGCAACTCTATTTAGTTAGCGTACATTAAAGAGCACTCAAGCCAAAGAAAAGTGTGTACCTCGATAGTGTTGCTGGCAGAGGCAGGTGTAACCACCCCTCTGTAGGTAGCAAATGCCCTGGTTTTGGCACGGATTTGGAGAGCAGGGTCCGTGCCTCTCGTATAGTTGCCTCGTAGGAGCATCCCTGGCAGGAGGAGGCATGTATGGTCCGCCAAATTCTGAGAGGAAGAAGAGCAGGCATCAAATCTAACGCACTTATTCCGTCTTGGACATTTGTTCGTGGTTCATTTCAAGTCCTTTCAACAGTTGAGATTTCACTAAGTCTGCACCGGCGAGCTTTAGCCTTTAAATTCTACTGATGCACCAAAGGACTTCACGTTCGTGTTGATCTTGAGTCGCTTCGTAGAATCAGCAAGCGTCATAGTGCTTGTTCCAGAAGAGCTCAAATTCAGTGTTAATTTGCCTGTAATGACTTTTCTTCTAACTCAAAGGTCTTGACATAGCCGTTTCTTCAACGTGATGTCGGCCATATTTTGAAGGGAGAGTATTTATGAGGTCAACCTCGGCTAAATTTGCCGAGATATTTCTCATAGCCTGCGTGAACAGTGGACTGACGGCGGTTCCAGTGATGACTCTGCGAATCAACACTACTCTTCGAACACTCTTCTTTGCTCTGGCTGTCGGATTATGCGGAGTGAAGTTTTATGATAAATTTTGCAACGCCTAACGTTTTCCAAAACACTATTATTCGTTATTGGTTGCTACACTGAGTATTTCGCTCACTATTTTTAATGGTGCTATCCATATGCAAGTTGCGTTTCGTACGACTATAGCTGTGAGCAACAGAGCATCCAAAACCCATTATTTAGGGCAACCTGGGCAGACTCGACCGTAAGCTCTCATAAAAAAGACTACCTCGCCAGCTGAAATGTTTTAGTAACTGGAACGCCAGTGGCCGAACGCGGTGACCCCAAGGGTCTGACGCGAGTAAATTGCTGCTCTTGGACGTCCCCTACCCCTTCGCCCTTAATGTCGGATCGTCAGTAAAGTTGTTTCACTGCTTCACTTAGTAAGTATGTGCATATTGCGAATCTGAACTATGTTGTCACAGCAAATTAAGCGATTGTGGTTCTCTCGCGCGTTAAATGAAGACTATAACATAGTACAAAAAACAAAAAAAAAACTCTAGGACTGTTTTGAATGTATCCAAGAGTGGTCGTGAGGATTCCTTATTCTTCAAACGAGGCAACAGCAATCCACCTTAGTTAATTGTTGCGAGTAAAACGCCATTTTTGAACCTTTCCAGCACGCGGCATGCAACAAATTTTTGTACCATAGTATAATAATGTCTATACTACTAATAACAATCTTGTCCCCACCCATCCTCTATTTAATGCCCTGAGAAGAGTTTTTAAGGCACAATAAATCATAAGGATGATTGATGAACAAAAAGCAAATATAAATCAAGCGCTGCTGAACTTCGCAGCAAACCGACTGACTGCACCGTTGACACAATTTAATGTTCTGCCACTGCTGGATAGGATCTATAAAGACTTGTCGACTTTCGCACCGCGTAAGGTTAAGTATGATCACTGAAGAGTTTATGGGAGAACCAGGACTCTGCTTATGGTGCATCTCTGCTTTATGTAATAGAAAAAGAAAGCATTCATCTGGCTGGTGCCACCTCTAGTTGAAATTTTAGAATAGTACGATGCACGAAACAAATGGGCAATATGTGCATGTCTCTTGTTTTTTGTCCAATAACTGATCTCACAAGAATTTTGAATCGGCAGTCAGTAGCGATGGCCCTCGAAGAAGACACAAGCCTCTGTACTTTCCTGCGCTCCACCCCCTCCCCCCGCGACTTAACTTGCTATCTGTTTGCATATAGGTGACTGGAACAATTATCATTCATGTTTTGCTTAAAAGATACAGTGAGACCTGGTTTATACGAATCTCGTGGGGTCACCAAATATATTTGAATAATTCGAAATTCGTATCACCACAAAACATGGAAAATTAGCATGCGAAGAAAGAAAATTGGCACACGTTTTCATTTAATATTTCTCGGGGCCACATTAACGTCATTATAGACAGCTCTGAGTCACTGCAATAAAGTTTTTAGGTGTAAACGATCTAACTTATTTGTAAAAAAGTCACAGATTTACCGCGAAGGCGAAGCAATGAACGCGATAGCAACAAATTGGAAGGTCACGCGCATGCAAAGCGCGCTTTTTTCCCAAACGTAGACTGTGCAATGATTGCAGTGAGCTTTGTGCGCCCGGTAACTAGAACAGAATCGTTCTGGTAAATGCCGAACGCCAGCCAAGACGTACGATCCTCTCTACTGCGAGATAAGGGCGTGCGACGGAGAGTCGACCCCTTTGCTCTTCGCGGGGTAAAGTGCGCGAGGGAGATAAGAGTGTGGCCACTTCGTCGTGACAATGTTGCTACGTGCACTCGTTGCGCCATCTTGCTGGTAATGCTGAAAACAAGATAGACCCCCCCCCCCCCTGAGATGCTCGTCAGCAGCGGTGAGTGGTAGATAAAGATAGCTTGCTGTTTCCACAAAAAGAACGTGCTCCTTGGTGGCTCAGTGATTAACGCCTCGCACTCGCAATTCAGAGGACCGCAGTTCTATTCCGCGCACCAGGGTACTTTTTAGGAACTTTTTCCTTTCTTGCACTTTTTATATATAGATCCGTATACATGTACGGTGAGTGATGGCGGCGCCGACGCCGGTGGCGAAATTCTGACGAGAGTGTCCATATAATTGCTATCGTAATAATACACGACACGTGCGCGCATGTGTAATTTGCGAACCAGATGTGTTGTGACCAGTGACATATATAGCAGCCCCTTCCAAGGCACATTATAGGTGGTTTAACATGACACCAGAACATTATAAGAAATTGACCTATAGAGCCATTTGCACGTGATTGTAGAAGGCCAGAATATTTAGAACCACTAGCATTTTTTGTTATTTTCTTATCGGGGTGGTGTTAGGGATGTTTTTCGGGAGATCTGTGCCCCGGAGGTTTGCTCGAAATTTGGTAGTTTCCCGTGCCAATCAAAGTGGGGGCAGGTGCTCGTGCATGCCCGCGCTTGGGTTCCCGTGCATGCGCGTGATTACTTTGTCATCCGTGCACAGCGCAGGCAGCGCCTGTTCGTACGTACGTGGCAGCTTAAGTTTGTATCAAATGTCTCAGGGTGAAAACTGGTTCGCAACCAACCGTAACGGCAGCCTAATGGGCCTTGACCGGGACCACAGAAAAATTTGGATCCCCTGAAATTTGTACGAGCCGTGATCGTATCGCTGGGCTTCCTCTATATGTTTCTGCTTTACTCTTCTGAAGAAGTGGAAACCAAGAAGTAGAGGGGCGTTTAGAAACAATATGCATAATTTTTGTTGGTTTGGATAGTTGCATAGCTATGAATGTGCTACACAAATTAAGGAGTGGTATTACTAATTTCACTAAAATGCAGGTGTATTACTTCGTTGAATTTAAAGCGTCAAATGGATGAACGAGCGATAAATCCGGCGTCTTGAACAGTGAAATGCTACCTTAATTACGGTTGTCTGTGCCCCGTCAGAGCAGAGCGAGAGGAACGTTCACTGTCAGCTTGCACTCGCTCGCAATGCTGTTATTCGTCCGAACAGGCTCACCTCAGCGTTCCAACTTAGCCATGCATGGTCTCGCTAGAGTGAGAATTTTATATATCAAAAGAGTTGGAAATTTCACGCTGTCAATATCTTGTGCAGTGCAAAATAGTAAAGTAAACATGTTGACTCAATCGACCGCTGAAGCCGAGGGTACAATCCAGCATGCGCCCGCACGTGTGCGTGCATGCGTGCGTTTTAGACAACATAGATCGTTACAAAACTACAACGACAATCCCGCTCCTGTCGTTCTCGCACGCAAACAATACGTCGATGAGAAAGCACGTTGCTTCGGCTGAAATGACACTGAAATGATTAATTGGAACAATTTCATTCATCAACACTTTATTTATGAGATTTCAGGCACTTGTTTATATGGGGATGTGTAAAGCCGTCCCAATTAGCCACATACATATTTTAGAAATCATAAAGAAAGGGATTCATTTGAAATATTCATAATATTTTAAGGCAGATGTCGAAACTGTCCGGGCCCGACGCGCAGGAACCACGAGAGCTCTGTTTCGTGAGAACATATCATCTTGATCAGGATGAGAAAGTGGCGACATTTGAATTCAGGCACGTCGAAGGAGAAACTGGTCAGGAGAAACGGCAAGTCGTCTGACGAGCACATTGAGACCGGAGATTCTTTGCGTGCTATGTGTAGCCCTTATGTCTTTGTTTCTTAAAAAAATACACGGGAGCAACATTTTCTTTCGCCTGTATGCGAGCAGAAGCACTGCAGTGGCAATCAGTAAGTTGAATGTTTAAGAGGGGGAAAAACGTTTATATTGCGGTCTTCCTGCGCACAGCTCGAAAAAAACAAACAAAAAAACAGGCAACATCACCCGTGAAGGTAAATCAATTCGTTATTCTAAGCGAGATAAATGGCCGCTTTTCACGACAATTTCCAGCAGTGGCCAAAGAGATTATTTAAAAAAATGCTAGAGTGAAAATTTCGCCCCGAAAGTGAAGCCCCTTCTGTCATGTTGCCGGTGGGACGATAAAACGTTAGCCTACAACGAAAAAAAAAGGCAGTGATTATTGTCACGACGCACCATGTCACGGTGGTTCTCAAGTGGCTGTGTAGCGATTTGGGGGGGGGGGGGGTGTCTCATTTTCAACTACCCCTTACATCCCCCCTCCAAAAAAAAATGGTAGCTAGGCTATGTCCTGTGAATCGTGACAACAGCCCCTTCCAACTTTTTTTTATACTTTGTCACATAACAACTCCGAATAACGGCAGAGCTAGTTTATCTTTCCCCTTCAAGTTGTAGAAACTTTTTTTTTTAAGCTTCACTGCACAACAAGCTCTTGTTGCGGTAAAGCTGACTTGTGTTTTCCTTTTTCGTTATGAAATGGTTGTAATGCTTTTGTTGTAGTTTTCGGTGACATATCCACGCCGTTATACTATTTATAGCCTTGCATAGTTCAATAGAAAACATAGCTAGAAATATCTTAAATTGTGGCTGAAGACTGAAGAAGTCATCGACTACCTATTAAAATCGAATTGGCGTGGTACTTAGTTTGACCATTCCTTGCCAGGAAGAAACGAAATGCCCCCATCTAACATGGCAGATTGTGCTAATTTATGACTCATCACCTCCTTCTCTTTTTCTCTCACAGCAAGAGGCCCCTGAATCATCCATGGCTGATAACCACTGCCCCATAAACTTTAAGATGCGTTCCGGACAGATAGTGCTCAGCATCTCTTTTGCCCCGCCGCGATGGTCTAGTGGCTAAGGTGCATGGCTGTTGACCCACAGGTCACGGGATCAAATCCCGGCTATGGTGGCTCCATTTGCAATGGAGGCGAAAATGCTGTAGGCCTGTGAGGTCAGATTTGGACGCACGTTAAGGAACCTGAAGTGGTCGAAATTTCCAGAGTCCTCGACAGCGTCTTTCATGATCATATGGGGGTTTTGGGAAGTTAAACCCCACATATCAATCAAAGCGTGTCTCTCTTTGTTACTAGTTCCCTTAAAAAACCTGGAATTCTTAGCAAATGCAATTCGTGAGCCCGTTATTACACCCCATACAGATAAAACACTTTCGTCGGGAAAAGTGGCCTCTCATTTTATAATTATTTGCAATGTGTGGGATTGCGACCCTTGTTTTCTTAATTGGGGATCGCTTGAAAAATCTATTTCGAAGGTAAACCAAGTCTAGTACTGGCTGCACACTTACGGCGCGCCTTCTATAAAATTTCACCCCTTTGCCATCGGGCATCTGATGTAACAGAGTGGCCCCACTTTTCCCGCACCCCATGTGCGGTAAGCTTTGGTTCCGGCCTCAAGATTCGCTTATAAATGCCTCTAAATAGGTCCGTGCAATTTTAAGGGCTAGTGTTTTTAGACACAGTAATAATGAGAACAGTGGTGCGAGGGAAAGTATAGGAGATGATATTTGAAGTAATTGTAGTGTATATAAGTGTGAAGACAGAAAAGTGGACGATAACATAACTTGCCACCGGCAGGATCCAAACCTGCCACCTTCGAATAGGTCCAACGCTTATGTTTGCTTAAAGAAACGGGCATGCTATAAATTGTGATAGCCTAAATTTTTGAATTGTAAACGATGAGCCCCTCAAGTGAATATTTATGAAGTTAATATGAATTTTTGTTAATAAGTCACTTTTTGTCAGTTTACGGTCGCCTATATATTTCCATCATGACGATGAGTTCGCGCGCGAAGATGGCAGAAGCGTGGCTGTCGTAGCATTTTTATGAAATATCCATATGGGCAAAAAAAGTTCATGCAACCCTGTGTAGGTCGCATGAGTGCCTGTACACTCTGCTTCATCACGGTGCTGCTACTTGAATCTCTGTTTTGGCGTCACAGCTATCGTCATGACCGGCTTGGCAATGGAAATTTCTGTCCATATATATAGGACGACGAATATAGAACAGAGTGCTCAGGCCTAATGTCATCTGGCAGTGGTCATAATGTTTTTCTCCCAACCCACGCGGCTTCATAGGCGTTGATGGCCATCTGTCGTCGCTAAGGATGCCGGCGACACTAGTCGTAATGAAACACTTGAAGAACCACTCAGCGGCATTGAATTGGGCTTAATGTTTTCGCACTCACAACTCGGGAAGTTTTTTCCTCACATTTTTCGCATTCTGTACTCGAAGACTCCTTTCGAAGCATTGTGGCTTGTCTCACTATGCAACATTCAATCACGTGTCGTGACCCTTTTTCGCATGAGAGGGCTCACTCTTTTTTCATTGTGTAATCTGCAGTGTACTTGTAGTGTTAAGCGTTTTCTGCTATGGAGTCGTTCGCAGAGTTTATGTTTTCACTGCACGGAGATGTTGTATCTGAACTGCATAGTGATGTTCGTTGAATTATTTCATACCGTCGCTGTTGTGTCGTTCTGCTCATTCTCTCAGCGTGATGGACCAAAGCAGTCGTATATCCTACTTAGCTGTATGAAATTTGTGAAATCTGATTCAGCACTTAATGTTTTCCCATTTTTATTACCATATTCGCAATTTGTTATTATCTAGTTCTACTCATGGTTTCATTTCTAAGAGTTTTTTTTTAATGCGCTGTAACAGCCAAACCTTTTGTAGAACACATTACGAGGCTTTCCTAATCGGACAAATCAACAAGCGAAATTCACATATGCGATTAAGTCACTCAGTGCTTGTGGACAGTTCCTTTGTGTTCTCCGAAATGCATTAGGTGTGACCAGGGCTCAGCTACAAATTATGATAGCACCGTCACTTCCGAGTGTGAGGAGAATGCACAGTTACGTTTTACTGGTAAACATGTTTTTGAACTTTGCTATTGCATGTGTGTACAGAATGATGCGTGCAGTGTTCCACTTTAACATTAGCAATTTTAACAGAGTAGTGAATTCACACCCGCTACTATGGGGCATGATCATAGGTGTGTTACATAAAAACAATGATAAGCACTGTGGATACGAAACTTTAAAACTTCAGCGTTGTCGCAAAAAATAAGAAATATACATGCCAAAGAAACGAAACTATTCAAAGGAGATTTGATCACGTTTTCAATTTTGCGATGATAGCTTGAAGAACTTTGCAAGTCATATAAGAGAGTGAAAAAAATCAGCTTTCCTATCACCTTACAGGGTCCATCAGAACTGATTTGTATAAGAAACATAAAAAAAAGTGCAGGCATTTATTTAAAGCAATAAAATAAACAACCTATGGGGACATTGTAATACCTCTAACACACGGAATAACAAAAATGGACACATTCCAAGAAGACATAGTGAACACTAGAACATGGGAGGCTGAATATGTTGAGCAACCACCAAATAACCTGGAGCTCAAACGTGCCCTCATCTGCATGAACATTAGCCACTCTACACAAATACGGGATACTGGCTAAAAGTTACCGTGTGCAAGGGCTGATTATTGTGACTTGTTCTTCCAAAGGTCATGCGCGTCTAATTCTAGCGTAACATGAAGTTGCCGTGCTTCCTATAATCTGTCTGTATGTACCTTCGTTGATGAAGAAAAGCAAGTACAATATAGGTTCGTTGTATAGCACGAAGTTTCTTCTACCCGATAGGCAGAGGCAATCTGTTTCGCTTAATCATGAACGCACTTGTCCGGGTGCCCTGGTACTGTTGCTGAATGATTAAACGCCACATTCTCGCGCGTGATTAGCGTTGCATAGCCTGCCGGCATCCTGTCGTCATCAACGTCCGACTCTGCAACTTCTCCCTACATAGGCAAAAACAATGCTACGAATGAGAATAGTTGACGAAGGACTTCGCATATGCAGACTGAATGCATTCCTTTGGTTCAAGTTAACTATGAGTTGCCAGCAGTTACTAGCAATGTTTGCTTCAGTGTTACTAGAACTTTCTTTTATTCAATGCCATAAAATCATATTATGTTTCTGTGCTTGTATTAGTATACACAGATCAGTTTATTTAGACAAAGCAGCGCCAAAGAACTTGATAACGAAACAAAAATGACACAGGGCATTGCATTGTCAATGACACCAAACACTTCGTGTCCCGGCAGAGCCATAGCATTTGATAACCAAGCACTTGAGCTTGTTTACGCTGTGGTCCATACGTATACAACATGTCGTTTTTCTTTCTCTATCACTGCAGCCCTTTCGGAGTGTTCATTCTGTTTCTAAGCGAGTGTGAGAATGCTCACCTGTGCAATCCTTAATCATTTTGGCCCCTTTGAAGGAGAACGTGTGCTTGGGGCAAGGCTTGCAGCTTGTCTGCCCCTCAGAGTCCTGGTAGTGGTTTTGGGGGCACAATGAGCACGAGCCGTGCTCCTCGAATGTGCCACTCGGGCATTGCACTGCAACATGGAAGGCAGCGAATATGACAATAACGCAAAAGGTAATGCCTAATGTGGGCAATGTACTCAGTAGCCCACAGATTTAAAAAAAATGATATCAGTGGACTTTCTTTGCAACTAAGAAATTTATTTCAGATTTCTCGGAGAATCTGAGGAGCCAGAAGATACCACCCTCCATCCCCTCCCCTTGACAAAGAAACAAATGCCTGAATGGTGTTTTTAATATTAAATTTGTAGATACACGGCACAAAAAGGAAATGTACAGTGATATGATTAAAAAACTGTTCAAAAAATAAAACATGCAAAATTTCCCCTGTATATGCCTTTTTAAAGGAGGAAATCTGGACACAGACCAAAATTATTAAAAAGCAAAGGTATTAATGTTTCGGATACCCCACGAAAACCTTGTTCACAGTAAAAGAATCGGCCTAGCTTTTTAAGGGGGGCGAATGACGTGACGAAGACACTTGGCATACACTGGAGGAAGATTACCATCGGTGCGATTTAGAGAGTGCGGCGTGGTTTGTAGTATCAACGACTCGAGATAAAGGTGAGATAAATTTTCCTCCTTGGCAGTCACATGAGCGTTTTTCCAGCTGGTAGTTTTCCAGTTAATTATACGACATGTATGACAGCTTCTAATAAATTCAAATTTGGCGAAGGCAGCCGTACGGCAGCATTACCAGGTGACGGATATTGCCGACGTATTTCTGAATTCTTTGGACGGCACACCCCTAAATCAGAGAGAGAACATTATTGTCAAAAGGTTTGAAGCGCTATTTTCTTGGGTTGTCGTGACGCATAATGTTATGCAGGTTGGCATTTAAATCTAAAGAGTATGTTTGGGGTCGGGGCAAGCCAGTATACCCGTCGTTATGGTTACAGCTTGAAGAAAACTACACTTGTCTGTGCTGTGCCTTTTCATCCTGTTTCTGCTGTCACGCTGTTCTTGTCATCACCATCGTTAAAAAGCTGTTTACAAGAGAAAAGGTTCTCCTCCACTAGCTGATGCAGTTTCGTGCACTGCTGATAGCCAAATTTTTGCTTGTAAATTTTGTTGCTTAATGAGTGGGTTTTTGTCTGATAATAAAGTATCAAAACGTCATATACTCAGACGTTTAACTGCTTGTGTCATTATATTATGATAAATTGTGGCGTCACTTCAAGACATGTGCCATAAATTTGAAGAAACTGGTGCCCCACCATCGACAGTCACACATGACCGGCGCTAAAAAGGGCGATTTCAAGGAGCACCTTTGTTCAACCGGCAGTTTGCCACTGCTTCGTCATTACATTTCTACCATAGAGTACCTGTCATGAAGATCTAGGGACCTTTGAACTTCACGCTGAAAAGTCCGATAGAGTGATCGGGCCGAGCGCGCATCGTTTTCTTATTCAACTGTAGTCTCGGAGGCGCCATAACCACGCTTCGAAGAAATGGACATGTGTGCGTGTAACATTGGACGTATTAAGGAATGAAGTGTAAATTTAAGGACTTGTTTTCTTTGTTAGACACAATAATTATGAGCACTAACAGACGTATTAAACTCTCCCAGAATGCATGGCTATAGGGCAAACCCACTACGTGATAATTAATCCTACTGCGAATTGTCAAAGTACCGCTACGCGTCCATGAAATGATACGCTCAGGTCCACACTTCGTTGATGCTGTTTGTGAGGATGATCAATTATGGATGAGTACTTTGAAATAAATGTGCTTTCAAACCACCCACTCGTTGCGCGATTCACATGATGTGACGCCTTACGCTATCCTCACCTCCTACAGTCCAACCCCACGATACCCAACTGGGGTGAATCAAACTTTCCTGTGTATCTAATTATTCGTGAACAAAAAAAAAAAGCTTCATCATCAACGCACATGAAAATATATGGCTGTACGAAAAAAAATTGCCCGAATACATCGAGCATGGGAGGGCGCTAAACGCCTCAGGGAGTTGGCTTTCCCTCCGAATACGTTGGCGTGTGCTTTTCATGGGTGCTTCCTCTCATTCGTTCTGATAACGCCAGGGGGCGCCGCGCTACAAGAAACGGCCGCTTGCCATCCCGCGTTTTCTCCCATGATTCCTCATCGTGGTTGGTGCGCGGAAGTGGTTCGCTTCTCCGCAATTCTCCGCTCCAGTTTGTGAACGCAATGGGTGCCGCGAAGTACCTATCGTTACTCGCGAATTCGGCGGTGATCAGCACAGTTTAATGAGGAGAATCTGAGGTCACCTGTGCGCACAGCATCCCAGCAAGCACGCCGAGTACAACTTTGGAGAACAATTTGGGTTATAGAGTGCACCAGAGGCTTCCGGTGTTTGACGGATACGCACACGTGCGTATCGAAATAGGCAGGCGTTGTTTACACGCGATATTTGCTCGCGCCATCGCTCTACATAACCTGCACCTTAACTACAAAGCGCAAAAAAGCAAAAAGGGTGGAGGGGATCTGACATACTGCCGTGAAGCCACATTCCTTCCATCATCGGAAAGCAGTGCCTTCAACTCAACATGCGCACCAACATTTGCATGCAAAATATGTTAAATTCTTCCAAACTTTTATCCTCTGACTTGCTGCTAAGTGTGTTAACTCGCACTGTAGGACGACTGTATGTTTTTTTACTTTCAAGCACTGCCGTGGCTTTGTGGTGAAACTCCTGACTGCCACATAGCAGGCCTTGATTCTATTCCCTCTCGAACTCAGGTGTTTTATTCATTTACATGAACCTCAATCTTTCGTCACCTTCGAAGGTGCCGGCACCGGCGCAGGAAACTATGCGATGTGGTGTCTTTCACGGTAGCGAGTTAAAATAAGGCGTTACGCACCCACGGTTGAGCCCCAAAATGACGGTAAAGAGTGGTGTCCCCCTAATACTGTACTAGGCTAGGCCACCAAGATAGCGAAGGGGAAGGAAGGAGTACAGAGGCTATTCGGTCATGACTTATTCTTACACCGTGCGTCATGTCCCACGCAATACAAGTATACTGGTGACGTTGAGATTTTTCGTGAAACCGGCGAAACGTCACAGTGGGACGATAGTTCTAGCGCGAGAACAAAACGACGACACAGAGACAAGAAGGACACGAAGGACTCTGTGTCTCTGTGTCGTCGTTTTGTTCTCGCACTAGAACTATCGTCCTGCCATACCAACTAGCCCAAGCTGCCACACTTATAAGTCACAGAGGGCTCATGTAGTCACTAAACGGGCCATGTTGGTGTCACTGTCGGTATGTGCTGCCTGCTCAGATGAGTAACACCTATCACCATTAATAATGCATCAAATATGTAGATGAATCGAACGAAAACATGGCGACTTCAGAATTTTGGTGTCAGAGGTCTTTCAAGACTCCAGCGTGTGAGATGCCATTGAAATGTTGAAGCACTTTTGACGCTGCAACTTTACGCATTTATTTGAAGGAGCAGAAAACGCATTTTTTATGCCCTTTGTCGCAAATGTTGTAGATAGGAAAGGAAAGAATGTGTCACGCCAGCCTGAAAGTTTCGTTTAGGCTATGTAACGCACGTGACGAGTACTGCTGTACGATAGCTTTCGGCTTTTTTTGAGCTTTCTGATATGGAAAGAAGAAGATACCCACCGCAGTGAGCCGTGTGATCATCAATGGTGAAGCCACGGCTGCTGCAAACCAACTTGAAGTCAGACTGGTGAAACGAGTCCCGCCAAAGGTCACCACCGACCTTCGCGATCTCTTGATAGAAGGTTGGGTCCGAAGTCACTATGTCGTGCGTGAGCACCTGAATCTGTTCAATCATGGTCTCTGCCTCGGGAATGTCGTAGCTTTCGTTGACATTGTGCCGTGCCTGTCAGGTAAAGTGTACATAGCGGAAGCAAAAACAAAACAAAAAAAGAAACATGTTTATTCCTCCGTCATAGGAATCGGTATAACACAAAAGTGAGACGTCCTTACAGTAATATAATGTTTACTGTACATTAATATAAGCTTGCACAATGTATCTTGACGTTTGACAAATATAGCATCGTTTAACATGAACGCACCCCCATTGGTCTAATGATATATCTCCATTCCGACGACTAACATCCATCACCATTGATTAAACTAACCCTTGATTATATGAATAATTGCAGTAGCTGCAGTAGTTAATGGTGAGAGCGGAATCGGAGACAGCAGTGTGACAGCTGGGCGAGCCGTCACTGAATGGACGCCGAACTTAGGCTAAGTGGCGAGTCTCCTCCTCGCGGCGTGTATTGAACACAACTGCCCCACTAAAGAGAAACGCAAAGCGCACCGTGCCTATGCTGTTGGTCGGGCGCAATTTTTCGTGGGGCAAGCGTAACTGGAGAACGCGAAGTTACAGCCAGGCGACACACAAATACGTTTGTTATGGATGGATGCTATGGGCAACGCCGAGGCTAAGGGTGATGTCGCCACCTGGCGTTGCGCTAATGCATCGACCATATTGCACTTCTCCTGCTGGAAGCGCATGAAATCGGGCGGACGTGCAGAAACAACGCGTTGAAGAAGTTATCGTGAATGACAAGCTCATGATGCATTACTTAATTTTAACAAGAGCCCTTATAAAACACAGTTTTAGATATATAACGCGCGTCTCTAAAGCTTCTAGAATGTGACCGTGGCGAAGTGGGATAGCGTGCCCGGCCTCGGTTGTCATGGACCAATGTATCGTGGGTTCTACTACAGATGACGGAACGTTTTTCTTTGCTTTTTGTTGCTTTCTGATTTACGTATTTTTCGCCGTCATCTTCGTGAGGAAAACGTGTCACTGAAGTGTTCGTGAACGTAAAACACTTTCGTGTTAAAAAACTTGGTATACGTTTGGCTTGATCACTATACGATTTTCTGCGAAGAAAAACAGGATGAGAACCTCACTTCATATACTGACCGTCAGGTCATAATACATCAACACTTTTGCATGATTTAGGGTATACATCTGTTATTTAATGTCAACATAATAAAGTTGTGTAGTTAGCCAACAAAAAAAAAACATTTCAAGTAATGGTTGCCATTGGTAGTGGACAACACTTCGCGCTTAGCAGACAGGGCCACTTTATTCTGTTATGCTATAAATTTTACATGTACTTGAATGAAGACAATAAAATTTAACGTCTTGAAGTTAAAGTCTTTCCATGCTGTTCTCGTGACTGCATAAATTGCTGCGGCAGGTGCAAACATGAAAGGCTTATAGATCGCAATTGACAGCATTATTTACACTTCAAGCTTGGCGTACACAAAAGGGTATTTGTGGTATTGTGACCTGGAATAAATGTACCAAGGACGTTTAGGTACAACAATGTCACCATGGTAGCTGGTTGTTTTACAACCACAACGTTTGTTACCCACAGATTTTGTTACCAAGTAAGTGCAGGTAGTATTCAAAAACATTATTCGGTACACCTATTTCGTCTGTTTCTCGCATCTTGGGACAATATGGCAAGGGGTATTTGCGAGAGCGGTTGCCAGAAGGGGCCAGTATGACAGCAGCCGTTGTTCGAATTGTTGCTTGGCACGCATATGATGCGCCGAGTACTGTTCGAAAGCAATAGAACGTCTTCAGTGCCTTAATACAAGCAGCCTAATACAATAAAACCTGTCATGCATTTATGAAAGAAAATAAGAAAACTAAGCAGCCCGTTCTCGCTCTGACGCAACTTGCCAATATAGACCATTGTAGGCAAATGTAGAACCAGCGCGAAAGCAATGCCATCGCTTAAGCCTAAAAATCGGTCATCATAGAGCAATAGTTATCACGTATGCATAAGTGCCCCACCACGGTGGTTTAGTGGCTAAGGTACTCGGCTGCTGACCCGCTGGTCGTGGGATCAAATCCCGGCTGCGGCGGCTGCATTTCTGATGGAGGTGGAAATGTTGTAGGCCCGTGTGCTCAGTTTGGGGTGCACGTTAAAGAACCCCAAGTGGTTGAAATTTCCGGAGCACTTCATTGCAGCGTCTCTCATTATCATATGGTGGTTTTGTAACGTTGAAACCTCACATATCAATCCATCAATCAATCAATCAATAGCATAAGCAGAACTCATTACGGTTCCGCAGTCATTAGTAATGAATACATAATCAGCATTCATGAGATTGCTGCAGCAGATTGTATGGCCGACTGACCTGAACAGTCCAGACAACCTTCATAGCATCCGACGTGGAAGTAGGATCGGATATATTGCGGCGAACGCCGGTCTCGCACATGAAGGTCACGTTGTCGCAAACGGCTTGCAGGCACACGTCGGCCGCTCGGTCCAGAAGTGCCTCGGTAAGCGTGGGCATGAAGTCCGCGTGCAGTTCCTCGAGGGTGCAGCTCGGCAGACCCACGTAGAAGGTGAGGCTGCTCTGGAAGTAGGTGGGCGAAGGAAGGCCTGCGCCGAAAAAAGGCCTCGCTCACTACCCACTGCTTGGGCCAGCAAGGAACATTCCGAAAGTCCGACTGCAAATAAGCGAACCTCAATTATTACTGTGCTAAAGATTAATTTAACTTCGTGATTCACCTTATCTTGCCCTGTACAGGCATTATCAGAGCGTGCAACTTGTGTAAGCTCACCATCCATATGCCGCATGACGTATGAATTCATTTTTTGCTATACGCGCAAAGGTACAGCTCTTCTGTATACAGGGTGTACCAAATATCACGAAGCGTGATTTGGAAAAAGGGGAACGTCGTTGCGCGAAGCTGATCTACTGCATATTGTTGTTAGTGTAACGTAGTAATAATTCATCATCATCATCATCATCATCATCATCATCATCATCGTCAGCCTGACTACGTCCACTGCAGGACAAAGGCCTCTCCCATGTTCCGCCAGTTAACCCGGTCCTGTGCTTGCTGCTGCCAATTTATACCCGCAAACTTCTTAATCTCATCTGCCCACCTAACCTTCTGTCTCCCCCTAACCCGCTTTCCTTCTCTGTAAATCCAGTTAGTTACCCTTAATGACCAGCGGTTATCCTGTCTACGCGCTACATGCCCGGCCCATGTCCATTTCCTCTTCTTTATTTCAACTATGATATCCTTAACCCCCGTTTGTCCCCTAATCCACTCCGCTCTCTTCTTGTTTCTTAAGGTTACACCTACCATTTTTCTTTCCATTGCTCGCTGCGTCGTCCTCAATTTAAGCTGAACCCTCTTTGTAAGTCTCCAGGTTTCTGCTCCGTAGCTAAGTACCGGCAAGATACAGCTGTTATAAACCTTCCTCTTAAGGGATAATGGCAATCTACCTGTCATAATTTGAGAGTGCTTGCCGAATGTGCTCCACCCCATTCTTATTCTTCTAGTCACTTCAATCTCGTGGTTAGGCTCTGCGGTCATTACCTGCCCTAAGTAGACATAGTGTTTTACAACTTCAAGTGCACTATTACCTATCTCGAAGCGCTGCTCCTTTCCGAGGTTGTTGTACATTACTTTCGTTTTCTGCAGGTTAATTTTAAGACCCACCTTTCTGCTCTCCTTGTGTAACTCCGTAATCATGAGTTGCTATTCGTCCCCTGAGTTACTCAGCAATGCAATTTCATCGGCGAAATGCAGGTTACTAAGGTGTTCTCCATTAACTCTTATCCCTAACTGTTCCCATTCTAGGCTTCTGAAAACCTCCTGTAAGCACGCGGTAAATAGCATTGGGGAGATTGTGTCCCCCTGCCTTACACCCTTCTTGATTGGTATTCTGTTGCTTTCTTTATGAAGCACTATGGTAGCAGGTGATCCCCCGTAGATTTCTTCCAGAATGTTTATATATACTTCATCTACGCCCTGATTCCGCAGTGTCTGCATGACGGCTGATATTTTTACTGAATCAAACGCCTTCTCGTAATCTATAAAGGCTATGTATAGTGGTTGGTTATACTCTGAGCATTTCTCTATTACCTGATTGATAGTATGAATGTGGTCAATTGTTGAATAGTCTGATTGAAATCCTGCATGTTCCTTTGGTTGATTGAATTCTAATGTTTTTTACTCTGTTAGCAATTACCTTTGTAAATAGCTTGTACACTACAGAGAGCAAGCTGATCGGCCTGTAATTCTTCAAGTCCTTGTGATCTCCTTTCTTATGTATTAGGATGATGTTAGCGTTCTTCCAAGACTCTGGTACCCTTCCCGTCAAGAGACACCTCGTAAACAGGGTGGCTAGTTTTTCTAACACAATCTGTCCTCCATCTTTCAGCAGATCTGATGTTACCTGATCCTCACCAGCAGCTTTGCCTCTTTGCATGCTCTCCAAAGCTTTTCTGACTTCTTTTATCATTACTGGTGGGGCGTCATCTGGGTTACTGCTAGTTCTTATAGTATTAAGGTCTTGGTTGTCTCGGCTACTGTACAGATCTCTGTAAAACCTCTCTGCTATTTTAACTATCCTATCCATATTGGTAGTTATTTTGTCTTCTTTGTCCCTTAGTGCTTACATCCGACTTTTGCCTATCCCAATTTTCCTCTTCACTGCTTTGAAGCTTCCTCCGTTTTTCAGAGCGTGTTCAATTCTCTCCATGTTAGACTTTTTTACATCGCATACTTTACGTCTATTAATCAACTTCGAAAGCTCTGCCAGTTCTATTTCGTCTGTTGTACTTGACACTTTCATGATTTGACGCTTCTTAATTAGGTTCTTCGTTTCCTGGGAAAGCTTGCCAGTGTCCTGTCTAACTACCCTGCCTCGAACTTCCACTGCACACTCCGTAATGATACTCGTCAGATTATCATTTATTGTATCTACGCTAAGGTTGGTTTTCTCAATAAGAGCCGAGTACCTGTTCTGCAGCGACACTCTGAATTCCTGTACTTTCCCTCTCAGTGCTAGCTCATTGATTGGCTTCTTGCGTATCAGTTTCTGTCGTTCCTTCTTCAAGTCTAGGCGAATTCGAGACCGTACCATTCTATGGTGACTGCATCGTACCTTGCCAACCACTTCCACATCCTGCACGATTCCTGGGTGTGCAGTCATTATAAAGTCTATTTTGTTCTTATTTTCGCCATTAGGGCTCCTCCATGTCCACTTGCGGTTTTCTCGTTTTCAGTAGAAGGTATTTAAAATCCGCAAATTTTTGCGTTTTGCGAATTCTACTAGTAGCTCTCCTCCGGCGTTTCTAGTGCCGATGCCATAATCTCCTACTGCCTGGTCTCCAGCCTGCTTCTTCCCTACCTTTGCATTAAAGTCGCCCATCACTATAGTATACTGTGTTTTTACCTTACTCATTGCCGATTCTACGTCTTCATAGAAGCTTTCAACTGAAGCGTCATCATGGCTGGATGTAGGCACGTAAGTCTGTACTACCTTCATCTTGTATCTTTTATTCAGTTTAATTACAATACCTACCACCCTTTCATTAATGGTATAATATTCCTCTATGTTGCCAGCTATGTTTCTGTGAATTAGGAACCCCACTCCCAGTTCTCTTCTGTCTGCCAAGCCCCGATAGCAAAGGACGTGCCCATTCTGTAGCACCGCATAGGCCTCATCTGTCCTCCTTACCTCACTGAGCCCTATTATATCCCATTTAACACCCTCTAGCTCCTCGAACAGTACAGCTAGACTGCTAGACTAGATAAGGTTCTAGCGTTAAACGTTGCCAAGTTCAGGTTCCAATGGCGGCCTGTAGTCCAGAGATTCTTAGCACCCTCTGCTGCGTTGCAGATCTGACCGCCGCCGTAGTCACTTGCTTCGCAGCTGCTGGGGACTGAGGGCCGTGAGTTATTTGACGTATGCATGTGGGAGGTAGTGGCCAGATACTGCCCCAGAGTGGCCAATCCTTCTCTGGTGAGGGAGTGCGTTCCCGGCGGTGGTTACCGGTGAGGCCGCACCCCAGGCCTCTTAATGTAGTTCCATCAACACGCGGATTTTTTTTCCGGTTGGGAACTGCGCGGCACCGGGATTTAAACCACGGTCCTCTTGCATGCGAGGCGGATGCTCTAACCACTACGCCATCGCCGCACCCGGATTGTTATGTTCTAAATGTAGGTTTCAGCGGTGTCTCAGTCAAGTTTGTGGTTATTTTATAAAATGTTTTAATGAAATGAGATTTCTGCTGATTACCCCCTTAATTAAGGGTCTAGAGAGTACGGTTTTGGACCTCCGATTATCCTATGGTGTGCTGTTTATCATTATATTAAGCAGACAAAACTTAAATTCGTTTGTGAGGTGATGTTACCAAATTAATCTTTTTAGTGATTAGGCCTAATTTTGGTCACGAAATAGTTCCGGTACTATTACTCCTGTCCTGATGAAACCTGAGCGGCGACAGGTCTACAACTAGGTCTCTACACTGTATGAGTTAGAAGTTTACCGGTAGGTTACTAGCAAAGTTAAAAACAATCGTAAGGAAAAAAAAACACGTGGTTCAAGACTTTGATCTGACGGGCGTACCTTTCTCTCGAGCAGTGAGCCACCCTCCTCCTCTGAGCGAGGGAAGACGCGGGCACCACACGTTTATTAGCGGTTCTCGTTATATTCTTTCTAACTCTGTATCTTCCGGTTACCTTAAGCTATCAAAATTATTCTTACATGGAAAAAATCGGACTGTTGTGTTCGAAAAGTAGATATTAGCTATTTTTTCGGTGGCATTTGTAGCTCCTTTTGAAAATTTGTTTTAATAAAATGAGCTTTTTGCTGATTACCACCTTAATTAAGGGCCTAGAGTGTACGGAATTGGGCCTCCTGGTAGCCTATGGGGTGCGGTTTATTATTATATTAAGCGGATAAAATTTAAATGCGTTTGCGAGGTGATATTACCAATTTAATCTTTTTAGTGATTAGGCTTAATTTTGATTGCGGAATAACTCTGGAACTATTAAACCTAGCCTGATAAAACTTCAGTAGCGTCAGGTCTACCCTAAGGACTTTCAACTTTATAAGTAATAAGTTTCCCGGTAGAATATTAACTAAGTTTTTGTTAATTACATTCAAACAATAAGATTTAATTAGGAATTTGACTCGACAAATCATCATCTAAACATTGCGATGTTAAAAGAGGAACATGCAGGCATGTTCAAATGACAGCTGGCAAAGCGAATTTCAACAGCGTACTGACTGAATCCTCGTTCTTTGTTTTCCTGATTAAAAAAAAACTCGCGAAATCTAAAAAATGACACGTGACCAGACTGAAGCGCCCTCAAACAGGATGACTGTGAGGTAGCAAGTTCAGAGTATTGGCTTGCAGCTTCTGCGGATGGGAGCGTAGTCACGTGCAATTTTTTTAGATTTCGCGTGCTTTTTTATCAGTCGCGCATTGCTGAAAATAGCACAGTTAGGTGTCGTTTCAACACACCTACGTATGATTATTTAACATTTTAGTATATACGTGAGCATTTGTCGAGTTAGACACTTAATTACGTGTAAAAACGAAACCTAATTAACGAAAGATCAGCAGTGGTACT